AAGGTGGAATGGCTCCAGCTGGATACCCTGGTGCATTTATGCACCAAACTAACCCCAGGAAACCTGTGGGAGCTGCTTTGGTGAAGGTTATGGTCCACATTCCTTCAAACAAAGAAACAAACTGGATTGTGTCTGAGGTTTGTGGTGCCTGCTTCATCTACTGCACATGTCACCATTTCCTTGGCCATCCTTTGTAGGTTGTTGGCAATCATGCCATCACAACTGTTTGCAGACACAGATCCAGCAGATCCAGTCATATACATGAAAAAGTAGCTATCTAAAGAAGTTCTCTGTGTCAGAAAAGAGAGGAAGACCTTGCAGGCTGTGCTAGAAGGTCTCAGATGTGATGTAGGAATTTAGTTTCTTGGATTTTAAGATAGAAGCATTTCTGTACAAGGCCAAAGGCAGAACCTACAGCTCTTGTGGAAACCTTAGAGCATTTATTGAAATATAAATGAAGATTAATCCTCCCCAGGGGTAGGCAGATAAATGAATGGGTATTTTTGAGGACTGCAATAACTCCTACATGATGTACCTAATTTTCCCTTTGAATATCTACTTCAAACATCCTATGCCATATGCAAGCATTCATGCTTTCTGTTCTATGTATGTATATATAAACTCAACCTTTAGGGCATAAACCAGCGTTTAGCTTCATATAGACAAGAAAGGTTTCCTAATATTAAGCTACTCACTATAACGAACAAGATTATTAGGAGCAAGAATTTATAATGATTCACTGTGATGATCCCAGTGCTCCTCTTCTTTAACATTTATTTTCATAACTCATACAAGTAATACTTTCCTGCCTAAAGAGAACTTTTCAAACCTTTCATTAATTTGTATTCACATTATTAGGCTAAAAGTATTTAAACTCCCACAACACCCTACTCTCAGGTTTGAAAAAAACTTATTTCCACGTGGAAAAGAATATTTAAAGTCTGGTTTTTTTTCTTCATCTGTTTTACTTGACAAAAAACAATATGCAAAGGGTATGGAATATATTCCCTTTGAACAACATCCCTTTCTTGGGGAAAATAAAAATGGATACAAAAGCACTGGGTAGCTGGACTCACACATGGCACAGTGTTGAACTTCCCTGAGAATTTTTTCCTCTCAGCTCCTGCCTCTGGGTTACCTCCTCTTCCTCTGGTGGATGCTTTCTCCTGTCTGCTGTCTGCTGTATTTTGTATTTTCTCCTGTCTGCTGTATTTTGTGAGACACTACATGCCTTTTGTTGCCTTTGTCTCCCTTCCAGTGCCTTAGACTCTGCAGTCCTGCAGTGCAATGCCTCATCCTGCTGGCACAGACCTCCCCACCATCAATACAGAGCTAGCCTGGGGGTCTGGCAGGGGGAGACACTGATGCCAAGTGGGGCAAGCCCGGCTGGAGACACCCAAGGCATTCCAGGCCTCCAGCCAAGGGGTCTGGGGAGCTGCTTTGTAGTGGAGTTGACGTAGCCACCAGTGTCGGGACCAGCAGAGCTGCCTGCCAGGTTTCACAAGCAATGGGGCCTGAATGCCACTGAAGTCGTCCTGTGAGAGCAGGAATGGGGAAACTGAATGGGAATGGGAATGGGAGTCAGTCACCCAAGTCTCACATGGTGGCAGCCCCAAACTGCATTCAGTGCACACACGCTTTCCCTGATGCCTTCTTTGTCATACCCATGTGCTGAGATTTAGAGTCTCTGCAAGTCATTCAAAGCTGTTAAAGTTGGTTTATTACAGGTTTGTGGGAAGCTTTTTTGTTCCGGAGTCACATAAACCAGGAAAACCCAATATTCACCCAAGCAAACTCATGCTAAGTTCAGAAAATCAAAGGACCAGGTACGACATTTCCGCACACAATGGTGTACCTGTGCAGCTGTGCTTGAGCACAGACAGACAGAGGAGGGAGTCTGAGATGGAAATCAATGTGCCTCTTGCTATTGTTCCAGGGAGAATAGCACCGTCTCCCAGGCAGGGCAGAAACTTCACTTTGAACTTCCTGAGTTGACAAGGGCTTAAATCAGAGCTGTAACTTTACTTTGATGTCATTTATTGTAGTTTAATACCCCCCTTTATTTATTTTTTTTACTACCATGTAAAATATATAAAGAAACCTAATCTGGTAGAGAGGTGTATGAGAATTTACTGAATAGACCTTAATGGTTCCTTTATGCAGCTATAAAACAGAGGGGAGCTACAAGAGCAGTCTGAACTGGACTAGGAACTTTAAATTTTATATGAATTTATTCGTCATAGTCAAAGGTTTATTGCTGTAGGTATTTACCTTCCCCATTGTTTAACTAGGTTGTGTATTTCTCAGACATCTAAGGTAGAAAACACACTGTACAAAGAATTAGGAGAGCTTGAAAAGAAGGATGAATAAGCTAAATCTGCTTTTGGAAATATGTTGTAAATTTGAAGTCACTTGACTGATATTTACTCATTTACACTACTTTCAATCCTGAACACTGGAGGTTCAAATATGGCTATGATAGGGTTAATTACCTTCTCCCACAGGCTGATCTGGAATAATTCAGTGGAGGTGGTGATAGAACTTTTTCTTAATTTCATCTGCAGAAATCAAAGAAGACTGCTGCCCCTAATCTAAGTAGGGTTTTTCCATCCCACCTTTACAGCATTAGCCATCTAATACCTTTTTGCTGTGTGTTACAGATAAGCTGAACAGCCTCAGTGGGCTGCAGGATGGTGTTAATAGCACCAAGACTATGTGTTCAGTCCCCTTGTGGGCCATTCACTGAGGAGCTGGACTTGATGATCCTTGTGGGTCCCTTCCAACTCAGAATATTCTGTGATTATGTGATTTTGAGTGCATATACAGTCACAGGTGGTGTGTTGCTGTAAATCAGAGTAATTCCTCTGAAATCAGCACAATTTATTCACACTGGCTCTAGGTCCAGCCCATCTACTCACTGCATTTTTTCTGTGGCCACCAGCCTCTAACACTTCATGTTCTTCAGGTAGGTAATTTTAACAGCTTTAGTAAAGGGTAGTAGTGGACCATAAAGACATTTTTAAAATCATGATGCATTAAACCTGATGAGGCAAAGGACTGTTCTAGAGAAACAGTGTTGTGTTTATATCAGGCCAGATACAACTTTTAAGTGAGAAATTTCTGATTTATTTAATAATGCATACACAGCATTGCTCAGTTTTAAATTATATGGAGTCAAAGTCAGATGCTCCATTTGAAACACAGAATGTCAGAATTCAAGAAAGGATCTATTTCAATTTTGTTAATGTTACATGAATTTGGGGTGTTTTTCCATTTTACTCTTGAAGACATTGGATTTTTAATACACTTTCATGGGTTTTCCATATTCCTTTTACTTAAAACAGCAAATAATAACAGCATTAATAAAAACATATAAACATATTTTTTTATGATTTATGCCCAGTATTTGCATAGTACTCTACCATATGACAGTGGAAAGCAGTCTGTGCATAAACATAAATATAATAAATGTATGCTCATGCTTGTACTTGTGTGTGGGAAGAATAAGAATGGACCAGAAATTCTGTGTGTTTTCATTAAGAAAGGTCAGAATGGAAAGAATTAAGAGTAACATCGATCTCTATTTCTTTCAATTTCCTGTTGGATTACCTTAACTATCTCTATGTTTTCTCTTCCATCTCTGTTGAAAAGATGACAGCAGTAAGTCAGGGCTGCAGTAAGATCCTGGATGCTTTTCTCTGGGTGCTCTTTTTAATACATTGCCATTATCTGTTATGCAAATATACAATAAAACTGTAAGAGCAATGTCATTCCAGCGCAGTCCTTTGTGTGAGGCAGGGAATCAGTGTTTCATCTGTGTAAGTTCATTGCTTCTCCCTGTGGAGGCCTAAGGCATGCCTCAAACTGCACATGCATTCCCCTGGCAGAGCCTTTATTTTGTGTTTGGGAGTATCTGGTTTAATTAGCAAGTGAGTTACAGAGAGGGAGGATGCCAGTCAAGGAGATTTCTGTGCGTGCAGTAGCTCAGGTGGTATTTCCATGGGCCCTCGTCTACTTGGAAAGGTGGAGTTGAGCAGTGTATCAAAAGTCATCAAATACACAGAGAAAATTTTCCTTATCTTCAACACAGACTTTACTGGAAATACTTAATTTCATTGTTCTCATTTTCCTTCTGTTTCAAGTCAGTTTTCTTCAATTGTGTCAGTAGACTGACTTGCAGGCATTGACATATTTCTTTTCTGTATCAGACCAGGTTGAAATAAAAAACAAATGGAAAAATTTGTCACCTTGACTATCCATTTTAATAACATTAGGCATTAATAATGACAGTTTTGTTAACAGGTAATGTTTGTACTAGGGACTGTTAGTGTTGCTATTGAGCTTTTATTTGCTGAGAACTAAAATAACTCATGTTGGATAATTTACTTAGGAATAAAGTATAAAGTCCAGGTCTTGCAAAGCTTGTATTCTAGGGGTTATAAATGATTGTATGGAAGTTTAACATATGTATTCATATGTGTAAGACTGGCCCATAGATGCAGGCAGTGGGGGTGAGGCAGCATTCATATGATTGTTAAAAATGCTATATCAATGACTTGGTTTTCATCAAGTCCTTCCATCTGGCCCATTTTTCTTCTGATTGTTACTTAATTGAATACAAGCAAACAGTTGGTCCATTTTTCTTCATTATTTCATTCTGACACATTTCTATAAATGGGTTTTGTCTTACAAACACAGCAATAGCATAAATTACAAAGATGAAGCATGTCTGAAACAAAAACTAAGATTTTTTTTCTGTAATCTTTTCTTTGAGGTTGGATGCTTTATTAAATAGCAACCAAAGATATTTAAATGAGAAATTAAATCAGGCTATTTATTAAATGCTTAGCAGTAAACAATCTTATGAACAGCATGAAATGATCACACTTTACAAATCTGTTCATTCAGCCATATATATATCTCTAACACAGAAGAGCTCCCATTAGCCAGAATCACTGAATTAACTCTATGAATAATTTTTTTTTTCCTTTTCTTTGCAGAGAGAATGTGCTAATTTCATCAAGGTCCTTAAGGCTTACAACCAAACCCACCTGTATGCTTGTGGAACAGGGGCTTTTCATCCAGTCTGCACCTATATTGAAGTGGGAAGCCATCCTGAGGTAAACTATCTTAAAACAATATTTTTCTTTTTGCTCTTTTTAATCTTTATTGGTGTTTAGTAATGATCTCTTCCTGCCAAAATGCATTCTCACTAGTTTCTGTGGCTTGGGAAGCAGATCTGGTAAGACCTGCTCCTGAGTCAGGTGCTGGTGTGCTGATTGATAAATCACAGCAGTATCTCTAACTTTTCTGCCCTGCACAGCATCTCTTCCCCTAGGGGCTTAAAGAAGTATAAGTAAACCCATTCTACCTGGCCCATGAAGTTAAAAAGCACTAGTTTTTTGTAATTGATACAAATACCAGGTATAAGAGGGGTAGTTCAGCCACTATGTTTATTCTGGGCCCAGCACTGTTTTTAGTTTCCTCCCAGTCAGTACAGTCCGACACCACCTCAGGTTTCTCCCAGCTGAGAATTAAAATAGTGTCACACCTTGATAAATCCCCCTTCTCAGGTTTGTCCTAACATACTGGCAGTTTTTCATATGTCACCTAGGTTTGGTTTCCTTAGTTTTTTGTGAAAAATTAAATCACTCTCTTTTCGCCCATTTCTTTAATCTCTTGCTGATTTTTGTTCAGTATTGCAGAATTCTTGCAGTAGCTCTTGTACCATTTTCTCAGTGATCATCATAACTAAACAGATAAGTGGGATCTTCCCTGGTAAAAAGCAGAATCACTCAAAGGAAGCCATGGGACTAGGCTGGTTTTCCGGGTTGAAGATTTGACTAGAATGTCTTCAATACTTTTTCTCTCTAGAGCAGCCTATTTCTTATTTTTCTGTTGAGTATGTAATATAAATTAGTCTCCTTTACTGTGTTTTCTGTCTGGCTTACATGAGTATTGCTCAATGGACTGTTTCAGTTAAGCAGTCAGACTCCTGATGTGCTTTCAGCATTTATGGATATGTTTTACTAGTGAATCCATAATTGTGTTACTTGTAGCTTCTGTGATCTTCCAAAAACCAGCTCTTTCAAGTTACCTTATGCCTTTGCAATTCAGGTTTGCAGATTTCCTTGAAAATAAAGACATCATTGTTGAATGAATGGTGACTATTTCTTCACACAGAAAAATTAACAGAGCCTTTGAGTGTTGACTTCATAGTCTGGGAACTATTTTTCCCGATGAGAATGTCTTTTGATATTTGAAACATAAATCTTTAAAATGTCTTAAGAACAAGGTTTTGAAGGGATAAGGGAGCTGCAGAGCAGAAAGGGTTTTGTTCACATTCTTTAATGCTTTATTACAATGCATTCTTGGCAATTAGTGATTGTCTCTTGACCACACACAGTATGTCATTGCTTACTGCATTAAACAGATTCTCTGCTTCCTGAGATCCATTTGGGAATTGGTAGACATATTAATTAACTCTAGTTCCGTAAGATGTGTGTCAATCAATCCTTGGCTATCTGCCAAGGGAATCTATCTGCACAGAGATAGCTCCTATGAGGTCATTTACTTCTACATTTGGCTGTTTTATTGCTGTACCATAAAACTAACACACACTTTATCAAGGATTTATAGAAAGGATGATCAGAGATGAGAGGCCAGATCTAACCTTGGTTTAACATTCTGAGTTTTTAAAGTCTTGAATCAGTGATGTGTTTGGCCCTGGAGTGAAAGAGAAATCTTGTTTTAGCTTCTTTTTAGCAGTCCCTAATTGCAAACAAAATCTAATTTTTTTGGGAGGGGGGGTTGGTTTGTTTTTTGTTTTTATTTTTCATTTATGCAGTAAGTTTGTAAGTCTCCTTTAACCTGAATCATTCTCATGACCCTTGGTTTCATCTTTGCAAATGAGCAAAATCAGGAGTGTGTTTTTCTGAATTGCCTTGGACACTATTGGCTTTTGTTTTCTTTTTCATACTTTAAATATGAGTGAAATCATCTTCACCTGCCCTTCCAGTGGCACAAGTTTCTGTGTCCTCTGAGTAGTTGTGCAGGAGGGTTTACTGCTTTCTCAGGTCAGGTCTGCACATGTAGAGAGAAAGTGAGGCAGGCAGGATGCAGTGTACCCACCTCTTCCTGGGCTTTGACAGATATAACAGTCAGCCTGGGTTCTGTCCCTTGAAAGGGTGACAATCAGATGAATAAATTAATTCATTAGATCTGCAGTGAAAAATAATCTGTCCTTTCTCTCAGCTAGAGCCTGTTCCTTCCTCTCCCATACTACCCAGCTAGGAATTTCAAATGTGCTTCTTCTGTGCGAGATGAGGAAGAGGAGGGTGCTTGATTGACAGCAGCTATTAGAGACACCATGAATGAGGGGGATACAATCTTAACCCCTGCACCCCTGCACACTGCATCTGTGAGAGCCAGATGGTTTATGTTCTCATGTCAGACAGCAGCACTGGACGTGTCAAAGGGCCATTGCTTCCGTATCATGGAGAGTTTATACCTCCCCAGCATACTAAAGAAGGTAATAGTATAGGCAGAGACAAGCAGTTGATTATGAGTTAAAAATTGACAACTAAAATACTTCCTGAAGATTTCTTTTCTGCCACAGCACTTGTGGAAAATGAACTGATTTCACCATCTGCTTATTTATTTTTCAAGCACTTAGAAAGGTAAATGTGAACTGATTAGGGCAATAGTCAGGGAATGTACCTACTCTCTAGCATGACTGCTTGTTTATCTGAGCTCTGAATGTAACCCACCTGCCTGAATCCACAGAAGAGGAAATCAGTGTGTGTGCCAAACTGGAGAGGGTGGAGAAGTGAAATTTAAAGAAAAGAGTGGCAAGCGATAGAGGAGACTCTGGAAGCAATTGGAGTAGGCTGCAGGAGGCTGGAACATGGTACAATTTTATTACTGGGGAAAGGAAATAAATTACTTTGTGTGACAGTCATAAAGTAATGGGAATATGAATTGTTATATCTCTTGAATATGTCTTTGGTATGAAGCAGTGTATCACAGCCCCATTCCATACCTGAAGAAAATAATTTCTGGTGATGGAACTAGACAGGTTTAATTGAGTCTGATGAAGTACAGTATCAGAAGTAATAATAAAAAGCTAAAAGGATATGAACGGCATGCTGTGCATCTGATTAAAAATGATGTGCACAAATGTATACAACCTAATATGTTGTGAATTACACCGCATTCTGAGGAGTAAAGCAGACTAATCTTCACTTAAATCCATTCCAGATGTGTAAGCTGAATAACCACAGTATTTAGAGGGAAGAATAAAGTTAATGTTTCAATAGGCTTTAAGCACGTAAGCCATGAGGAAGCAGGAAAGAACATATTTAGAGAGAACATAGTGTGTGGATATGCAGAAAATACCTGAGGGCAGCCAAATGTAAAGCTTGATATCATCCATTTTATGTGCATGAGTCTAGGGGAGATGACCTAACACAGACACCTACACAAACTTCAGGGATCTGGGGTGAGGCAATATGTGGCATTCTGTCCTCATAATGCAATATAATACAAGAAACCAATTACCAGACAAAGCAAGAAAGTGATTAGTAAAGCTGTGTTTTGCACCCACTGACTTCTGAGGAAACAGGGCTGGATGTGTAGGAGTGTTGTACTTAACGGTTGCAAAATTAAACAAGTCAGATCTGTGCTGGAAAGGAACAAATCCAACTGCAGGGAGACACAGAGGTGCATTAAACCCCCTAGAAAATCACAACAGGATGCAGAATGCACCTGCCTATGCATGCCTGAGCAGGGGGAAGGAGCCCTGCTCCCTTTCCCCGGGGCTCCCTTTGGGGTAGTTTGAGTGAACCAGCAGGGAACAGTCCTGTTTCAGTAAGAACAGGATTTTCCATTTACTTAACCCTTACACACAGGTGGAGGTGTACTGAATGCCCTATAGTACCTTTTTTTTTTTTTTTTAAATGCTCAGACAGGCATTGCAAGAGCTTTGCAAAATTGGTTGCCAGATCCTCAGCAGGAATACATTAGGGTTTCTTCAGCAGAGGTAAATCACTAAGTGCTGTCTGAAGAACTAAACCAGCTTCTTTTATTGTCTCCTAATTCCAAATTTCTTGTCATTGTCCAACAGATTAAAACTCATTTTTAACTGTATGAACTTAAAAGATCTGGGATTACTTTACTTGCAGGTTATTTCTCAATCAATAAAGAAGGTTTAAATTCAGTTTAGATTTATGATGTACATAAAACATTAAGTTATTGCATATGAAGTTATATAATGCTACCACCTGTAACATATTTGCTTTTTCCGGACTCTGTGTATTTTAAAAATCTTTGGTTCAGCTCATAAAATTTTGCTGAAATATACTTTCCACTCTTTTTTATCCCTTCTTTTCTTCATATTAGAAAGAGGTGCAGAGTGCATTTCCTAAGTAATGGACATCTTGTTCTGACACATTTATGCATTTATCAGTTTGTCTCTCTGTGTCTATTGTGCATATATATAGTGATGGAAGAGCATTTTTTTCCTGAAAGAATGGCTTTGAAAAAACACACTAACTGAAGGATCAATGCTGCTGCTGGTACTAAACATGGTGTGTTTATCTAATGCAAAAAATCAGGGTGAAACATTGATTTCAGTAGTAGTAGATGTGGCAAAAATTAGTCTAATTTCATTGAAGGCAGCAGACCTGTGTCAGTTTACGTCAGTCAAGATTCTGAGCTGTGGTTTTTAAGTGAAACATTACAGCAAATGGCTTTTTAAGTTAAAAATCACCTGGGGCTACTTTTCTTTCCATATAATTAACTGTATCTTTATATGGTATTTATAAGCTTATATAGAGAAAGTATGAAGGAATAGGATACTGTTAAAGGATTATTCTCATTTGAGTTTGAACTGTTATGTGTGACATGCTCGTTCTAAGCATCACAATAATTACAGAGAAATGCCATAAAAAAAAGATGATCTGCTTTACAGACTGCAATAGCCTTCTTTAGTTCACAGGTGCCTTAACCTTCCAAACTTCCAGATATCCTGTTACTATAGTACAGGAAAACAAAACTGAAGAGACAGAAGGCACAGTGTAAGTACCTTTTAGAGCACTTCTTTCCATTGCATGAGTAGTTT